CCTAATAAAACCCAGAACAACACAAAGCGTGGAGAAAATTTATAGGAAAAGTTTTGAAATAACAGCCTGAGGGTTAAAAAATGGTTGTCTTGGAGTGGTTGCTCCCCCGCCCCCCCTTTTTTTTAATTTGAAGCTCCTGACCAGTATTTCACCAAAGGTAAGTACAAAGATTATGGGAAACAAAACAAAGTTGCATTGTAATGGAGATGAAAAGTCTGCCATAAGGAAGGTCAGATTTGAGGGTTAAAGAGATTTGGAGAGGAGATAAAACTAGGGTGTAATATAATCCAGACAAACCTGGGTTTACAAAAATCTGATAAAAACAAAATCCTATTTAGTGAAATCCTTTGGCTATAAGTGATTGACACTAGCCAGCACTAATTGCCAGTGGAACTCAACCCACCTCTTGCATTAACTCAATTCTCAATATTACCATTTTGCTGATTAGAAAACCAAGGCCCATTAATCACATCTCCTAGGATTCACATATATTTATATGTATATAATCTCTTGAGGGCTATATGAAAGGTATTTTTATTTTTAAAATTATTTTTATTAATTTGTTTTTGTTACAGATGTTTCTCCTTTTCCCCCCATTGACACCCTCCTCCCCAATTCCACACCCCCTCACCCCATCCCCAGCTTTGTTGTCTATGTTCACTGGTTATGCATACATGTATATAAGTTCTGTGGTTTAACTCTCCCCCGCCCCAACACCCTCTCTTCTGAGGTTTTGTTAGTCTGTACCCTACCTCTATGTCTCTGGGACAATTTTGTTCAGCAGTTTGTTTAGTTCATTATATTCCACAAATAAGTGAGATCATGTGATATTTGTCTTTCTCTGCTTGGCTTGTTTCGCTTAGCATAATACTCTTCAGGTCCCTCCATGTAGTCTCAAAGGATAAGAGATCTTTCTTTCTTACAGCTGCGTAGTATTCCATTGTGTACATGTACCACAGCTTTATTATCCACTCATCTACTGATGGACACTTAGGTTGTTTCCAGATCTTAGCTATTGTAAATAGTGCTGTGAAAGGTTTTTATTTTGAGTGGAGTAGGGAAGCCAAGATTCCTAGCTGCTGTGAATGCTTCTAGTAGGGCCCAACTAATCTCACTCCTCTTGTGAGCTGCAAGGGGTGATCTGCTAGAACTCCAGGGACCAAGGACCTCTAGGGAAAGAGGTCTCCCCTGCCGTGGTCTCTGGGTGGACTGGATTAAGTCTATCAACCTCTGATGACAGGAGGGCCTGGTGGTCTGACAGATTCTAGCCTGGTTGGGGGTGTTATGTGTATCTAAGTGTCAGTGACAGTATGACTGCTGTTTTTTGAGGAGCTTGAGGGTGCTTGGGAAACTGTGGTGGGGATTTGACCTGGGCAGGGAGGTCAGGGGAGGTTCTTGGAGGAAGTGATTCCTGTGTGATAACTGAGTGGCAGCAGTAACACTCAGCTCTCTAGAAACCTGGGGACAGACAGTAGTCTGGTGCTGGGGCAAGGCCAGAAAGGGGAGGAAACAGTTGGCCCAAAGCCTTGCCCACCATGCTAAGAGCAGAGGAAGCCACCAGGGGTTTTAAGCAGGTGGTGAGTGTTGTGGCGCAAGAGAACCTAGAGACCACCAGAGCCAAACTAAAGCCGAATAGAGAGCAAAGCCAGCTGGCGACTGATCCCCGAGTTCTCAGAGACCAGCCCTGGGGCCTCCAAATGTTGTGGCGCACCAGAGTCAAAGAAAAACCACTAGAGAATTGAAGTCCAAATAAGAGCCATTTATTAGCCAGCCGGCGTCTGATTCCGAACACCCCTGTGACAGAGTCTTCAGAATCAGCCCCAATATGCTTTATTACATGCCTTTTATACCTTACAGAAAATAGGATCTTGTTGATATAGTGCCCAGGGCCACAGCAATGCTGTATAGAATTAGTTTGCCTTATGGATAACAGGAACACCAAGGCACGCCCAGGAACACCCAAGTATTTAAAGATACATTGAGTCACACTTAGCCCCGAGCTGCACAAACACAATGCAAGCCTAATTCCTTGAGATTATGGGGAAGGCCTAGTCTCTGACTCAAGACCTCCAGGCTTTGTGGACTCTGTCAGCCACGTAGCTGTCTTCCAACAATTTCTTGGTTCAGGGAGTATTCCAATTTACTAAGGTTATTTTGACTAAACAGGTTCAACTAGAGGGCATACAGTGACTTTCCCAATCATCAATTATGGAGCAGCACAGTAATTTACCAATCATCAATTATGGGGTTATAAACATGCCAGCACAGTGAATTGTCTGAAAAGCTTCTAGTCCAGTTATCCCTATACCATTTATTGAAGAGACGGTCATTTCTCCATTGTATATTCTTGTTTCCTTATAGATTAACGGACCATATAAAGTGAGGGTTTATTTCTGGACTTGTTCTATTCCTTGATCAATGTGTCTGTTTTTATGTCAATATCACATAGTTTTTGTGTAAGATTTTATTTGAGCCAAATTGATGACAGTGTTGGGGAGCAAGATCTCAAATGTTCAAATACCACATTGTTTTGATCACTATAGCTGTGTAATATATAGTCTGAAATCAGGGAATGCAATACCTCCAATTTTTTTTTCAAGATTGCTTTGGCTATTGGGGGTGTTTTGTGGTTCTGTATAAATTTTAGGATAATTTGTTCTAGTTCTGAGAAGAATGCCATTGGTATTTTGATAGGGATTGCATAATACAGGTCTTTTTTTGTTGGTGTTAATCTTCACCCAAGGATAATTTTTCCATTGATTGTTTTTTTTTTTTTTAATCCTTACCTGAGGACATTTTTGCATGTATCTTCAGACAGAGTGAAACATCAGTGTGAGAGAGACACATCCAGTGTTTGCCACCCACACAACCGCAACCAGGGCTGGGGACAAACCACAACTGAGGTACGTGCCTTTGGGGGGAACCGAACCCAGGACTCTCCAGTCTACAGGCCACACTCTAACTGCTGAGCCAAACTGGCCAGGGCTCCATTGATTGTTTTTTTTAGAGAGAGTGGAAGTAAGGGAGGGAGGGAGAGAGAGAAAAAAAAACATTGATGTGAGAGAGACGCATCCATTGGTTGCCTCGCTTGTGAACCCCCACCTAGGTGGGATCAAACCTGCAATCCAGGTACGTGCCCTTGACCAAAAATTGAACCCAAAACCCTTTGGTGTGCAGGCTGATGTTCTAATCACTAAGACACACTGTCCAGGGCAGAGTACAGATCTTTTACCTCCTTAGCTACATTTATTTCTAGGTATTTTATTTTATTTTTTTTCTATCCTCACCCTAGGACATTTTTGCATTTATTATCAGATGGAGCGGGAGGGAGAGAGGGAAGAAGAGTGAGAGAGAAACATCGATGTGAAAGAGACACATCAAGTGGTTGCCACCCACACAACCCCAACTGGGGCCGGGGACAAACTGCAACCAAGGTACATGCCTTTAGCAGCAACCAAACCAAGGACTTTCTAGTCCGCGGGCCGACACTCTAACTGCTGAGCCAAACTGGCCAGGGCGGTATTTTATTCTTTTTGATGCAATTGTAAATAGGATTGTTTTCTTAATTTCCTCTGATTATTTGTTATTAGTATATAGAAATGCAATACATTTCTGTATATTAATTTTGTGTTGTACAACTTGACTGAATTCATTTATTCTAATAGTATTAACACCAGTTGAAGTCTTTAGAGTTGTCTGTACATAGTACACAGCACAGGGAATACAATCAACAATATTGTAATAACCTTGCACGGTGACAGATGGTTACTAGACTTAGTGTGGTGATTACATTGTAAAGTATGTATTTATTTATTTTTTTTCATCCTCACCCGAGGATATTTTTGCATTTATCTTCAGATAGAGTGGGAGGGAGGGAGAGAGAGAGAAACATCGATGTGAGAGAGACACATCAATTGGTTGTCACCCGCACGACCCCAACCAGGGCCAGGGACGAACTGCAACCGAGGGACGTGCCAGTAGCAGGACTTCCTGGTCTGTGGGTCGATGCCCTAACCACTGAGCCAAACAGGCCAGGGCCATTACAAGGTATGTAAAGGTTGAATCACTATGTTGTACACCTCAATCTAATATAATATTTCTTTTTTTTTTTTTTATAGAGAGAGGAAGGGAGAGAGAAAGAAACAACAATGTAACACAGAAACATGGAATGGTTGTCTCCTGTATGCACTCCAATCGGGGATCAAACCGGAAACCTGAGTATGTGCCCTGACTTGGAATCGAACCCATGACCTTTCAGTGCATGGGACAATGCTCTGCCAACTAAACCAGAGCATGGCAAAAACATTTTTTTTTTTTTTTTGGTACGTGCCCCTAGCGGGAACTGAACCCGGGACTCTGGTCCACACGCCAACGCTCCAACCGCTGAGCCAAACTGGCCAGGGTGGCAAAAACATTTTTAATGTTTTTATTTCCTTAGAACTATAGGAAATAGTAGTTTAGTAGTTTAGTTCCTGAATAGTACAGGAAATAGTATTTCAGTAGTTTAGTTCCTCTCTCCCCCCAGCTAGGATCTCAGCTTAGATCCTGGTTTTTCTCTAGTCCCTCTGCCTTGCCTCCTTTGTTTATTTATTCTAGAAACATTTGTCACTTTGCTGTCTCCCCAGGAACACTCTTCTAGGGAGAAAATAAAAATGAAGATGTGGCCAGGGGGCATTTTCAGGATTTCAGGGACTATTTTCAGAAAATGTGTATCTGGAATGTTATATACATGGAAGAAATCTGAAATATTCAATTGTATGTAACCTCTCAGGAGCAAGAATATTTTTTGAGGAGGATTATCTATTTGGCATGTCTTTGAAGTTAGAGTCTGTCCAGAGGGAGGCAGTCGCATTGTAATGAATCTCTGCAGCAGTGATGGAGGTTCCAGGTTGTACTAACTTGATTCCAGCTGTCAAAATTTCAGCTGCACCTAATTTCATGGGATTTTGCTTTTCTTACTAACTTTTTTTTGTTTGTTTATTTTTCTCTTCTTCCTTTTTATTAATATGGAAGGGTTCACGAATTAGGGTGTCATCTTTGCGCAGGGGCCACGCTAAACTTCTCTGTATCCCGCCAATTTTAGTATATGTGCTGCCGCAGCAAGCACCTCTTCATTTTTAATCTTTGTTTTTATTATCTTTCTTTTTTTAAATTCTAACTGTAATAGAAAGCATAGCTGTTGTTGCAGTAGAGATATATAAGATTTAACTTTATTAAACTTTCAAATTAAATAATGTTCAGTTGGCCCTGGCCAGTTTGGCTCAGCGGTTAGAGTGTCAGCCTGGGGACCAGAGAGTCCCAGGTTCGGTTCCTGCTAAGAGCATGTAACTGGGTTGTGGTTTATCCCCGGCCCCAGTTGGGGTCATGTGGGTGGCAACCAGTCGATGTGTCCCTCTCACATCGATATTTCTCTCTCTCTCCCTCCCTCCACCTCTCCCTCCCGCTTTATCTGAAGATAAATGCAAAAATGTCCTCGGGTGAGGATCAAATAATAATAATAATAGTAATAATGTTCAGTTGTACTACTAAAAAAGAAAAACAGAAAACAAGAAAATGCCCAACCATCTTGGATTCTTAGCTTAAGCTTCTGTCACAGGCATGGGGCTTTAATGGGGGACAAGTAGGGCAAAGAAATGGGGAGCTAGAGTGGAGTGAAATAGGACTTTGGGTCTGTGGAAGGGGAGAGAACTAAAGGGGGAAACAGCTGGACAATTCCTCTTTTAGAGACTTTCATAAAGTTTGAGGGGAAGGGTTCTAGGCCTGTCTGTCTGGTGAAGGGTAGAAGATAATCAGTGCTGTGGACAAAGGCCATCCCCCGTGTTCCAGATGGTGGTTTTGTGTGTGGTTTGGGCCAGCATAGCAGGTGGACATCTGGGTGTTGAGAGATGTGAGTTTTCTCAAATGGCACTTCCCCGTCAGCCTCTGGATGGCTCTTATTTCCAGCCCCATAACGTGACTTTCCAAGGTGAATGTTTATTTTGGATTACTTGACTTTTCCCCAGGTTCCTTTTTTTATTTATTTTATTTTATTATTTTTTATTTATTTTTTTAACCTCACCCAAGGACATTTTTTTGTTTTTTGTTCAGATAGAATGGGAGGGAGAGAGAGGAAGAGAGAGAGAGAGAGAAACATCGACGTGAAAGGGACACACCAAGTGGTCGCCACTCACACGACCCAATCAGAGCCGGGTACAAACTGCAAACGAGGTACGTGCCCTTAGCGGGAACCGAATCCGGTCTCTCTGGACCACAGGCTTATGCTCTAACCGCTGAGCCAAACCGGCCAGGACGATGGGTTCCTTTTTTTAGAATTCAATCTATGATGCTTTTCCACACTGGGTGATGAATTTTATGATGCTGGAGCAAAGTTGTCTGGATAGATTTAATAAATCACTTTACTTTGCCCTGGCTGGTTTGGCTGAGCAGTTGGAGCGCCGGCCTGCGGACCAGAGAGTCCCAGATTCAGTTCCTGCTAGGGGCATGTACCCCCCCCCCCCGAAAAAAAATCACTTTACTTCTATTAAATAGGATTATAATACTATATAATAAAAGTTACATGTAAAAATTATGTGTTAATATGAAAAGAAGTCCAAGATATTTTGAGGAAATTTCAATTGTCCAACACTAGAGAATGATCACATTTTTATTTATAGTAAGAAGAAATTTACAGTTAAGAATAAACTATAAGCCCTGGCCTGTTTCGCTCAGCGGTTAGAGCGTCGGCCTGCGGTCTGGAGAGACCCGGGTTCGGTTCCCGCTAAGGGCATGTACCTCGATTGCACTTTGTCCCCGGCCCTGATTGGGTAGTGTGGGTGGCGACCACTCGGTGTGTCCCTTTCACATCGATGTTTCTCTCTCCCTCCCACTCTATTTGAACAAAATATCAAAAAATATCCTCGGGTGAGGATAAAAAAAAAAAGAATAAACTATAAGCCCTGGCTGGTTTGGCTCAGTGGTTAGAGTGTCGGCCCGCGGACCAGAGAGTCCCGGGTTCTGTTCCCGCTAAGGGCACGTACCTCGGTTGCAGTTTGTCCCAGGCTGGGGTCGTGTGGGTGGCAGCCAGTCACATCGATGTTGCTCTCTCTCCCCTCCTGCTGTATCTGAAGATAAATGCAAAAATGTTCCTGGGTGAGGAAAAAAAAAGTCAATAAAGAATAAACTATAAAAAGTTTTCTAATAAGTGACTCACCATTTAATTAAAAGGCAAAGGTAGACCTCTATCATATATCTTAGAGCAAGATGAATATAGATTAATTAGAGCATAAAAAGTTTTGTTCTACCCTGGCCAGTTTGGCTCAGCAGTTAGAGAGTCGGCCTGTGGACCAGAAAGTCCTGGGTTCGGTTCTCGCTAAGGGCACATACCTCGGTTACAGTTTGTCCCTGGCCCTGATTGGGATCGTGTGGGTGGCAAACAATCGATATGTCTCTCTCACATGGATGTTTCTCTCTCTCTCTCTCTCCTCTCTCCCTCTGCTCTATCTGAAGATAAATGCAAAAAAAAAAAAAAAAAGTTTTGTTCTTTAAATAAAGTAAAAAATGGCTGGGGTAAGGGAGATATCAACATCAGGACTAACAAATGTCTAATACATGAGTAGTAAAGTAGTTCTCATGAATCAGAGAGTAAAGTAAATTCTCATAGAACAATCCACAAAGAACATTAGGTAAATCACAAATGAAGAAACACACATAATCACATGCTTATGAAAGTATTCAGCTTCGCTCTTACTTAGAAATTCAAAGTGACACAATTAAATACAATTTTTTACCTGTGAAGTTGGTGAACATTATTTTAAAAGATAATTCCATTTTGGGAAATGTTTTCCTGACATTCTGTATCAACACTACAATTCAAGGTAACTTTTGGGAGCTATCTTACGGAATTATTAACACGTTACCATATACAAGGATGTTCTTTGCAGTATTATTTGGAAAGGCTCTCATACTTCAATTTTGAATCTTTTCCCTAGAACTACAGCTAGGGCTGTGTACATACAGCCACATGGTTCTGCAGGGCCCATTTCTAGTTTGCTTGCATTTAGTGCTTAGGTATTGAATAGGGTATGTCTTTAACACAGACCAGAGGGATATTTACACTTTGGGTAGCTGAAGGGAATTCTCACCTACTAATCTTAGAATAAGTAGAATTTACAGACAGTGCAACTTCAGTGTGTATATATATTAAATGAAACATTCTTATTTTTGTCAGGACACATAAAAAACCTATTAGCCCTGGCCAGGTAGCTCAGTTGGGTAGAGCATTGTCTCCGTGATGCCAAGGTTGCATGTTCGCTCCCCAGTGAGAGCACGTACAAGAATTAACCAATGAGTGTACAAATAAGTGGAACAACAAGTCGATGTTTCTATTTCCCTTCCTTTCTCTCAAATCAATAAATAAAATTATTTTTAGAAAGCTTATTATATTTGCATACTGAAAGAGGGCGTCTAGCTTAGGAAGGTGTACTCCCCTTCTCTTCATTCCATTTGTTATTTGAGTTCCTTGTCGTGTCCATGTATTTGAATGTGGATAGCTATGGCACAAAGTTTCAAACATCAACACATCCTATATAGAATTAGCATTCACTCTTGAAGCCAAATGTGTAATAATAGTAGTTATGCCCCCTTTACCAATGAGAAAATCCAAGTTGAGAAAGATTAGAAGAATCCTAATACAGTTATTCTCAAAACTGTACCTGGTCCACAGCATCAATTTGTTAGAAATTTGAATTTGCAGATCCACCAGACCTCCTCAACCAGAAATTATGTTGTGGGCCCAGCAACCTGTGGTTTAACAAGCCAGCCACTAATCCTTGAGAGCCATTGGCTTAAAATAAATTAATTTGGTTAATTTGACCCTATGTCCATTCTTAATTTGGAAGTTGAGAGGAAACGAATGTTCTCAATTCTTACCTATTTTGGGTTTCTGGGCCCGATGCCCGTGTGTGTGTGTGTGTGTGTGTGTGTGTGTGTCTTCTCCACACCAACAAGCAATTCTCAGACACCAGCAGGGTATCTGAGAATTCAACTCAATTCTGACACTATCTACCCAGAGATAGCATCAGATTCCACAGGTAAAGGGTTTAGTCCTACAAGACTGCCCCACCCCCCCAAATCACTTCAGATGCTAGTCATAAACCCAGGTGTTTCTGACCAATGGGCTACAGACAGGAGGTCCCAATGACCTCTTTCTTGGACTTCAGATGCTAGTTACAAGTCCATATTGTTACCTTTATGTCTGGTTGTCTATAAATTAGAGGTTCCCATGGCCCTCTCTTTGAGTTTCTTTAATTTGCTACTGTGCTCGTGGAACTTAGGAAACCTGTTTACTCATCAGATTACAGAATTACTTTAAAAGGATTGAACTCAGCCAGATGGAAGGAATGCATAGGGCAAGGTACGGGGAAAGGACACGGAGCTTCCATGCTTCTAGCATGCTACTCTCCAAATCTTCATATGTCGCCCAATCCAGAAGATCTTTTGCCTGTCATTTGGGGTTTTTATGGAGGCTTCATTGGGTAGGCACGATTGATTAAATAACTGGAGATTCATAACTAATTCATTCTCCAGCCCCTCTCCCCTCCTTGAAAATCCAAGGGTAAGACTAAAAGTTCCAACCCTCTAATCACATGGTTGGTTCCCCAGGAATTAGCTCTCATCCATAGGTATGGTTCAAAAGTCACCTTATTAACATAACAAAAGACACCTGTAATCTCTCTTTTCACAAGAAATTCCAAGCATTTTGGGAACTATGAGCCAGGAACTTCATATATACAGTATATAAGAACTATATTTTGATTATCTAAATGAATATATATATAAATAAATAAATTTTTATTGATTTTTGAGAGAGAGGAAGGGAGAGAGATAGGAACATTGACATGAGAGAGAAACACTGACCTGCTGCTTCCTGCACACCCCTCACTGGGGGTGGATCCTGGGTGGAACCCAGGCATGTGCCCTGACTGGGAGTTGAACCAAGACTCGCAGTCCATGAGACCATGCTCAATCCATTGAGCCACACCTGCTGGCCAAATATATATATTTTATAAATCACAATATTGCATTACTCTTCACCAGCATAGATGTATTTAAATGCTTCAAGCATGAGTC